AACTCACCCAATGTACTGGACTGTAAGAACTCGTGCCAAGGATTTTTCATGTTCGAGATATTCTTTCCTTTTTCTTTTTTTTCCTGGGAAATTCTCTCTCACAGAGTTAGGACACGCTTTAGCTCTCTCCTCCCTTCACTGCATATTTTCTGTTTCTGCTTTTTTTCACTGTAAGTCTGGAAGATTTCTGATTTGAAAAGCATATTTTCTCTTCTGTTAGGAATGGGTACTGGTCTGGCAAGCTTGGCCTTGCCATCTGCCCTGTCAGTGAAAGTTCTTGCGCTTCCAACTTAACCCAAGGAGATGACCTACCACCCTCTCCTCCCCTTAGCATGAGATTTGAGGGCTGTTACTGCACATAAAGCAGACAGGCCTGTCTTTGTCAGGACCAGATCCACAGAGGTGAAACCCACAGGAGCCTAAGTGCTCTCCGTGTGCCTAAATACCCTGCTGTGGCTGGACCCAACACAGCTGCTGACAGCAGGACACGCTGCCTCTGCACTGTAGGTACCCTTTTCAGTGTCCTAAGCAACCCCCTGCTGAATTTTCCCAGCCTGCAGAGGGAAATTAAATTCTTTGTCAGAGCTGGGAAATCCCCAGAATGGCCTTAAACCATGCTCTTCAAAATGCAGTTGACACTCTGCAGTGTGCTCTGTTCATGCCCGCGTGTGCACACGCACACAGCAGCCTGCTGCTCAGTCCTCCCTGGGGATGAGAGTTTATTTTACAGTAACTCTCATATGGTGGTTAAAAAATGGCTCTCACAGCCCCTCTCAGCCTTTGGATCTTCTTTCTGAACTAATGCCGGCACCCTTTGAAAGCAGCAAGAGATATGCATTTCCTTGGTCAAAACCTCTCCCTCACTGTCATCTTCCCTGTTTACTCACTGCTGCTCTGGGTTGGGTATACTAAGTAGGCTATGAGGGCCGGACAGGTAACTCACCTCTTGTCCCAAATGTTTAAGGGTAGATTTTCGAGCTTTTACCGGAAAGCGATGGTTCCCAAGTGATCTGCCCTCTTGACATGATGGGCCACTCTGCCAGGTACTCCAGGGATCTGGATGACAAAGGGGCTTGAGATAATTCACAGATGACTTGCCTGGTTCCTCAGCAGTGTGGAGCTGGGTTGCGAGGTGACCTGATGCTGGTCCCCTCAGATGGGTTCCTGGGCTTGCTGCCTGTTCTCAGGAATGTTTGAGACCTCTCAGTGGTCTCCTCTGTCAAACACTCGGCATAACCATGGCATGAGGCTGTCTTGCAAGTCATCCTGTCTCCTTCCCCATCCCTCTCATGGTGGGATGTCATGCAGACTATGCCATTGAAGAGAGCTGGGGGGACACAGGTAGGGATTGCACGGCACCAGTGACCGTAGCCCCTCCTCAGTGCCTCAAGAACGTACAAGCAAAAGTGGTGGGTGCTGACCACAGTCAGTGCTGTTAGCCTGCTCATTCTGTGAGCTTCCAGCTGGTGCAAGGGAGATGTCCAAGGAGCACTAAATCACTTGGCTGAGCTAAGAAGCAGGTGGGATCCACGTGGCCTTTCGAGCCACATAATAGTGCTTTGAAGTTTTCTGCACAAATTCAGGAGCCTGGACTCTGTGCACCACTGGTTCTGACTGGTAAAAGTGTTTCACATGCTCTGATAGGTTCAATAAGAAGCTCAGGCTCCACAAAATACCATTGCCTGTAAATTCTGGCCTTTGCTAATTTGGTACAGACTTTCCCTGCAAAAGCCACTTTGCTGACCTCTGGTTTTTCTCTGGTTCTGTGCCCTGAAAAAAGGATTTGTGGAGAGAGAGAGTTGTGTACGTGGAATCTGAGAAGGGGCAGTAAGAGCAGGGAGACGGAAGGTGTTTTAGCAGAGACATGGTGTGAAGCTCTCTGTGGTGAAAGGCAGGCTGGGAAGAGATGCCTTATGCATCCCTGAGATGGATGAAAGTGCTTTCCCAGCTGTGTTCACCTGGATGTTGCCTAAAGGTCCAGTTGAGGCGAGAGCCAAAGTTTAATGAGGGGAGCATGCAGGCTGACAGCTGGGTCAGGAACTGTTCCCATGGTCACACAGAGTTTACAGGACAAAGTAAAAGACACACGTTTTCTGTGAATGCCTGAGAGCAGAAAACAAATTGAACCAGGAAGGCAGCGGGGAGAAAGAAATGGCAGCCAGGAACAAGGTTCTGTTTCTGGTTGAGGTACCGCAAGAGAAAGGGGGTGAACCAGGGCTTGTGATGGTGTGAACAGGTAGGACTATGCTCCCCTCTCCCACCTGGAGCTGAAGAGAAAATATGCAATGTTGCCTACGAGGTTAATGCTGGGGGTATTTAAGCTTCAAAACTCTCTGCGGGGGCAGGTGGAAGCACTCAACACCCTTCCCAAGCCTGAAGGAAGGCTTTTCTATAACTCACCAAGTTCTGGCTTGAAAGTCCCCTGTTCTTGTGATGAGGATACAAGAACTCAGAGCAGAGGGCAGTGCATTGTCCAAAGGCATGCAGCAAGCAGACCTTCAATGAAAATTGCCCATTTTTATGAAAGAAAAAAAAAAAAGGAAAAGAAATTGGGCAATTTTCCCCACCAAAAGCCACATTTTAATGGGCAGGTTTTGCTCTCCAGCCATGCGCCTACTCCTTCCTAGTACCCATCACTGAAGATGATTGCGCTGATCTGTCCTGGTTTGTCCTCTTCCCTCTGGAGACCTATTCACCTGTGGCTGCAGAGAACTTCTAGTCCTGTCCTCCATGGGGATTTCTCCTGCGTCCACACTAAAGCTTCAAGGATTCACTTGCCCTCTGGCCCAAAGTTTTGGACACCTGCCTGCTGTACTGAGATGCTGCCTGGGATTTCCCCAGCAGCCCACAGAAGTCAGGTGCCCAGACTGCCCACAAGGAAGGAGTGCCTCAGTTCCTCAGGTTCCCTTCAAATCCTCTGGGAAGAAGACAGAAGCTGCGGGACCAGGTGTCCTGCTGGCTCCAGCACCCTCAAATCCAACCCTCTGTTGCCTGAGGAGATGCAGAAGCCGTTGCTGCTGCTGCCAACCAGCTGAGAACTGCTGATGTCCCCAGCCTGTACGCAGATGTGCCTTCCTCGCACCCCCGGACCTTTTCAGACTGGTTGAGTTTGTCGGGTTTTGGTGTGGTTTATACAGATTCTTTGGGAAAGTTTCTCACACCAACTTGCCCCTAAGTTCCCATACAAAGAAAAAAAAAATGAAGTCCTGGCATTGCACTTGCCAGAAACTTTGAGTTAAAGTAAAAGCCAGTAGCTGCTGCTTTTTTTTTTTCAAGTGGCTGTTTTAATTTTAAAAAGATAAATAAATTCAAAGGCACCAGTCCAGGCACTGGTTTTAATTTCTGGGAGGAGAAAAAAGTATCTGAAATTACTAGCAGTTTTCTTTTTTTCCTGAGACTTGTAATTTAAAGTGACCAAAACTGATTGCATTTTTTAACAATGAGCAGAACATTGGTAGAGCATCCAGGCATTCAGAACAGGCACCTTACTGGACAATCCTCAATTCAGAACCCTGCTTATAGCTGTGAATTTGATGCTAAAAAATATCTGATAAGTAGCTTACACCTTCACCACCCCACCACCCACCACCCCCTTTTGTTTTCTGAACAAGTTTCAGGGTGAAACTAGGTAGAAATGACTTCTGGATGAACAGACAGAAATCCTTCCTGGAGTCAATCTTCAGGCTTTGAGGGAGAAGAAACTCATAAAGAAGCTCTTTGCGTCCATCTCTAAAATTAAATGGCAGAAACTGCTGACTCACATGGGAGGCTTCATACCCAAAAGCTTTGGCCCAGAATGTTTTCTTTTTCTGTTTAATTGTTATTTTTCTATGTCACCATTTTTAAGTGGTGTGCAGCTGATACATCTCTGCCAGTAACTGACTGAAGACTGAGTCACTGTTTTATATAGATCTGTCCATAAAGTCATGGAACTGACTTTGGAAATTTCCTGCCAAAGAGGAGGAAAGTTCAGAGGAGGGTAAGAGGAGATGATGGAGGAAAGGGCAGAGGACGCTAGAGTCTTCCTGACCCCGTTGCTGAGACTTTGTGCTGAAAGCCTGATTTTTTGAAAATTGACTGGATGGTCGATCTTATGGAGGTGGTGTGAGGACTACTCCTGATGGGGATGTAACAAATGAAGGTTTTCAATGGTCTTGCTGGATGCAGCATCAGAATGAAAGCTTCAGTCAGTTTTGCATTGTCTCATATGAGTTTGCCCAGTTTGGGTGAGAGAGAGTTGACTCTTGGGCATGTACAGTCAAATGTCTGTGCTTGTGCTCCAAGCACAACCACTGAATGTGCTATGCCATCTCTAATGAGGAGTAAGTGTCTAACTGCTCTTTAAATCAGGACTCTCAGGCCTGTTACTTCCCAATGAGGTACTCTGTAGAATTTCCCAGCAGTGAACAAAGGAGAGATATTTCTGGGCTTTGCAGCTCTGGCCACTGCAGCTCCTGGGTTTCAGCCTGTGTTGTCTCTCTGAGGAGGCGGCCCACTAAGGAACATGACCTTTCACCCAAGTCTGGCCCCAAAGCAGGATGTATCCAGCTCCCAGAGTCAAATTTCGGTCCATTTCGCAGGAAAGCTGGTTCAATTGCAGTACAGTGTACATTTGACTAACCAGTTTGAACTCCATGGAAGTAAAAGCAAGGTAGAAATGCCAGTAATTGTGGCTTTGCCAGAGATGCTTTGTGGTACCAAGAGTCTAAATCTGCACCTGACCAGACAGCTGTGCTAAGGAGGCATCTTTCCAGTAGTTGCAGTGTTACAATGGCTTCCAGAGGTGTTTTTTCCTGAGCTTTGCAAGGCATGTTTATCTCACAAGAGGAGTTTTAACAGGCTGGCAGTGCACTTGGGCAGGACTCTCTCTTGCTTTTCTTTTTTTTTTTTTTTTTTTGCTAAATCATTTTGTAGGGTTGGGGATGGGGTTTAGTAGGTGAGAGTCAACTCAGAACAAGATCTCATCTGTTCTGGTAACACAGCTCCCAGTTTATTGAGGATTGCAGCACCCTTTAAAATCTTCCGTATTAAAGAAAAAGAGCAATAAAGCTTCTGGGAAAATCCCATGAAAAACAGGTCTCTGCTGAGACTCTAATTTGGGTAAAAGGGCTGCAGGTACAATTTAGTGAGCTGAAGGCAGTTTTCTTCTTTTGAGCTGCCTGGCTGATTACACCTGCAAGGAGGCAGGGAGTGCTTGCTGCTGCCACCAGCAATGCAGCTCAAGCCGTGTGAAGGCAATATACCCTGTTGATTGCCCACTGCTGAAAGGGTCTAGTCCCAGCCAGGAGGTGACATTCTCTGGCTGCCTTAGGTGGGCAGCATCTGGGGCTGCAATATGCGAGGTGTGATCTGAGGACTGGGAAAGGTGCAGGCTTGCATGCCGCTGGCCTCTGATGGAGTTCAGGAGGCAGGCAGGGATATACACAGCTGAGCTGCCCTTCTCCAGGGCTTTCTCCCGTGCGCCTGCTGCTGCTTGCTTGCAGACTTCTTCACAAGACAGAGGAGGTGTAGGTAGATCTGGAACTAAACCCATCTCCCTGTCCTGAAAAGAGAGGGAAGCTTTGCTTGCATGTTACCAAAGTAACCAAGAAAGCAACCTCCTGACACTGCCGTGTGAGTCCTCAGCTCAGTTTTATAGCCTTTTAGCAAGGTCCTTCCCACCAAATTGTATTACCAGAACCCTTGAGCAGAGCCACTCTAATGAGTAAAACTCCTGCTTTCTGCAACTGCTAATGTAATAACTGGCAATTTTATGGCTAAATCAGAAGACAAAAAAACAAGGGGAGAGGTAAGGAGAAGAGGAAAATCTCTCTATTTTAAAATGCAGCCAAAGTCTGCAGGATTCTACTGCTGCCAGTTATTTTAACAGCTCCAACCTGTTTCCCCAGCAGAAGGAAAAAAATAAAAATACCTCCTCCAGCCCCTCCTTCCCTGTCCTTTGGGAAGAGAGGGGCTTGGATTAGCTCTTCAGAATGAAAACAAACACATCGGGGCTTTTATAGAGCCAAGCTCTTCCTACATCTTGGGAGCAAGCAAGAAAAGATCTAACAGGTGCTGCATGATTTTATATGGCAGCGTCGCAAGAGGCGCTGGTTCTCACTTGTAAAAAGAGGCTTTCTTCCCCCTTCAGCAGGTGACCTCCTCTGTTCCTGGAGCCAATGGCTTTAGTTTAACAACCTGTGGTGGTTATTTAAGCTCCAAGCAGTGCCAGAAGGCTAACCTTGTGTCTGACACATTCCTTCCCCTCTGTCAAAGGCGGGTCCCAGGGTGAGGACACCCTCGATGGCTAGCGGCACCCCTTCTCCCCTCCTGGGGTACTTGGTACAGCTATGGTCAGGGCCAGAAAATTGTTTTTCCCAAACAACCCAACTCTATCAACCCCCCCAAGTACATGTCCATGTGAAGGAATCCTACAAAATGGGCTGCTGAGTCAGTCCAGTCCTTCTCAAAGTCCCAGGAGCAAGTTGCATTTCATGTCATTACACAGCGGCAGCCATGCATCCTACAGTAACATGCAGCTCTGAAACTCCCATGAGCCCTTGGCAACCTTAGGACAAGTCATCTTCCACAGTAGATGTGTAAGACTCTGGATAGAGAGGGGGCCAACCAACAGCAAAGTGGAAAAGTTTTCAAAATCCGGTGACATATAAACGTAAGCACTGATGACATTTCCAGGGAGTCCCCAGATGAACCCCACAAAACTTGGCCCTGCCTTGCAATTTGCTAAGCAAGGAGCTACAGAGGCCTCCACATCCTTTGGAGGAGACATGTAGTGTGTGATCACGTCCCTGTGACACACGGTTACCAGGCAGAGGTGACGCAATGAGGATGGAGTAGGTCGAATCACAACAATTTTAGAGAGTCTGCTGGGAGAAATGCTTGAACTGAGCCACATTTGGGGTTGGTCTTTTATTGTCTTGTTGCACTTCCCATAAAAATAACCTCCAAATTAGCCCCAGCTGTTAGCAGGTTTCGTCATTAAAATTTTGTTTGGTATCAGAGAGGAAGGAAGTAAGCCACTTAAAGAGCAATATTGCATGTTTTATTTTTTCTCCCTCTCTTTCACACCCCCCACCTACACCATGATGTCTAGACCTAGGTTTTTTTCCACTGGGGCTAGTGAACTACTGTTAGATAAGACAGCAGACACCATTCCACAAACGTTTTTATTCCTTTTAGGAGCCATTCCCTTCCGCCTCGACACGCATTCTCATGCACACAAGCAAAGGAACAAATGCACTGAGGGAAAACTCAAGCTATAAACAAACCTTCAAAGTTTTAGCTGCATTTTTACTTGTCTGGAAATGTGGCAATACCACGCAAGGCTGGCTGTTGTTGTACAGATGCACTAAGCAGACTAATAGAGTGCAGATCATCAGCAGCGAACATATGCAAGACACTCAGCTATGCATCCAAATAAATATGGGAGCCCTTTAGCACCTGGCTTGCTAGCAGTCACAGTATCCTCTTCAGCCACACCATACTTGGGAGGGTAGAGAAGCCCTCAGCAGAGTCAAGAGCATGCCTTTCTGATTAAGCTGGTAATCTGCAATGTTCAGCTTTTCCCTTTTGCCTTTTGACACTAGGGAGGGAAGATGAGTAGGCATAGACTATGCCCTGCTGGAAATTTATCCTCAGCCTAAAAAAGTGCAGGTTTTGAGGACCATCTTCAGGACTGAAAGAGGAAACAGGAGGTGCTGTGGGGCTGATAGGGACATCCAAGCCTTGCAGCAATTCACCTAAGGATTTTCTGCATGCTCCTTAAAAGGATATTAGCAGTATAAATGGTTCTTGCCTTTTTAGGCTGAGTTGCCACATGGTCTAGTTCTTTGCTATGGGGCACAACTGACTTTGTTGCTAAACTAATCATGAAGGTGGGTATTTTCAGGCAGCATTAAAGCAAATTCCATGGAAATGATGGATCATTCTTGCCTTACTTAAGAGTTGATTTTGCTTGGGATCTTCTGACAATATCACTGTTGATTTTTGTTATTAAAACATAAAGTTTTTGAAGAAATATATTGGTTTCAGATGAAAATGTCTCTTACCCACAACAGCAGACGTGGTCAAAAAAGGAGGGAGTAGGTACTCATTTGAAGTGGGGAGGTTCAGCTCCATATTCTGGCTGTTTTCCTGGTTTTCTGGGTGCAAACCAGGGCCGTTTCACCTTGGTGCTCTTAGAAGTGGTCCCTGCTCACTGAGAGCTCCTGCTAGGCAGCTCTGCCCCCTCAGCTGAACAAAGCCACATAATGAGCAGACTCAGATAAAGCAGCATAAGTCTATGGCACAGGGATAAGATGAGGTTTAGGGGGCACAGAGAGCTAAAGCAACTGGTTACTTTCTGGAAGTAACGCAGTAGGGACCCTGCCCAAGGGAGGTCTTACCCCTATTGCCAAAGGGAAGCTGTGCTGTGTGGTCACTCCACTAATCTGTCCTGACATGCAAGAAATAACATGTTTTACTTACCCTGCTCCACAGTGCAATGAATTTTCAGGCATGCAAACTTTAAAAGTGAGTAGGAGCCCACTCAGGGGCCATCTGAATCCGTGTTTTCCATGACACAGATTGGTGCTCTGCTCTCCAGGAGGAAGGTGGGGAATTTAGTGAGGGGAAGGAGGCAGCAAGGGCATTCACTGTTTCTTGACAGCATTTAAAATGTCCCAGGTTCATTCCACATTGCAGCAAAACCCTGTTTCTGAACTTCAGCTCTTCTTTGTGAAATGACGTTCTTGGTTTGCAGCCACCCTGAAAAGACAGTCTCTAAGGTTATCAGTTCAGCTTCAGCCCAGGAATGATCAGGGAAAGGAAAGAAATCCGCTACTGCTTGACAGATGGATTTGACTCTGTGTGGAATGGGTTGGTAGGCTAAGGCCAGGTGGAACAAAGTAAAAATCTTAGGTTGTTTTTCCTTCCCAATTGATAGTAGTTGGTAGAATCCAAGGGCTGACAAAAGTGCAAAAGAACCTGTATTACCCAGAAAACTTGATGTGAAATACACATCTATCCCCAGGTACTTGCCTCATGCTACCCCAAAAACCCTGCATCAGTACTGAATGGAAATATCTGACTATTATTGTAGTAAGAAAACAAAGAAATAAGGACTAGAAGAGGCAGTTGGGTCACTGAAGCCTGGTTCCCTGCTATTCCTAGTAACTACTGCATATCATCGCTTGCACAGCTGGATCTTAGTTGCAGGGCTATAGGCTCTCAAATATCACAGCAATGCTCCCATGAGAGTACCAAGGCAACAAAACCCTTGTGGAAGGCCGTGTTTGTCTGTTTCTTTTTCCTTAACCCTATATACAGCTCTTTGGAGGAAGTTAGAGTTTTCCCCAGTATTCCAGTTCCAACTTGACAGCTCCCAATTTTAATCAAGCTTCTTCAGGGAGGACATTTTAAGGGGTAAAAAACCTCACGTATTTCACTTTTTCCTCCCCATTTTTCTCCAAGTTTCAGATGAGATGAGCCATCTCTGCCAGGATAATCTGTCAGCAACATGATCCACAGTGTATGTGTTAAGGGAGAGCTTAAAATCAGGTCAGGTATAATGTAGCATTTACCCATAATATCCTCTCAGCACTCATTTATTTAGGAACCTTTCAAGCTGGAGACTGGATTTAGACTGTTGTATTAATGACCAATGGGCTTGTTCTCCCCAAACTTACCTGGTTTTTAACCCATTTCTGCTTTTGATTTCTAAAGTAACCTATGGAAATGAATCCCACAGCATTCATTTTAAACATCTGTACCTAGAAACCCAGAAGATTGGAAAAATATTGTTTCAAAAGTTACTTTGGTGGTGCCCAGTGCTTATAAACAATCAGATATTTGCATCTCCAGTGATCTATCTTGTCCCCCAACCCCTAAAAGCTTAGATGAACCCAAACTGTAGACTGGGACCCAGAAGGAGAGCTAACACTCAATTTGAGGATCCAGGATTTAGCAATTCTTTGCATTCCATAAAAAGCAAAAGCAGCTGCAAAGCTGAACTTCAGATGTGAACTTGCAAACTTCCTGAGACTGGTGCCACTGGGATTTAACTGGAACTCACAGTCCACTTCAGGTTTGCAGTGCTGCTTTTCTCCAACTGCTGGCTCTGTCCTGCCTCCTTCTGTAACTCTTGCACTTGAGCATGTACAGATAACAGAGAATGAAACAGTAAGAGCAGAATGGTTTATAGACTCATATATATTCATGTTTTCCCATTTAAAAAAACAAAACAAAACAAAAAAAACAAAAATAAATAAAAAAAAACCACCAAAACCCAACCACCACCAACAAAAAACCCCCCAAACAACCCAAAAAAAAACAACCCTCAAGCAAATATATAAAAAATCCACACACAAACAAACAAAGCTCTGATAATGGATGTCACCACCCCCTGCTGAACTCCAGAGCCTCTTTTTGTGAAATGAGACAGAAATTGTGAAGTCTTAGGTGGATGCTAGACCTCCAAAAGATCTAGGGCTAGATCTCCAGAAGATCCAGGGGAGGTTAGGAAGGCAAATTTTTTATTATTTCAAATACATCAGGAGAATGGTTTGATTTTGATTTGGCTTTAGTCTATCCTTTTCCTTCTTCTGGTAATGTTCACTGATCCTGATACACAGGCTATGCCACACTGTCTGATGAAAATGGGTTAATAGGTTGCAACTCTGGGGAACACCTATGCTCTTAACTGTCATATTTTGCATTTTCCACTGTTCTTTACAACCTTTTCTGGCATCTGGGTGAGATGTGAATGAGTCCTGGAGAAGACAGCAGACCCATCCAACAGTTCGTGTCAGACAGCTTGAAGTGACAAGATATTGAAAAACAGCATATGGAGGACCTTAATGTGTGGAGATAAACGGAGCTGCCTCCGAAACAAAGTAAGAAACACATCCCCCTCATCCACCTCCTCCTTTCAACAGTTTCCCTCTTGCATGTCTGAAGGTCTGATCCAGCAGGAGACAAGTTCCTGGTATGCAAACTAACTGAGAGGGACTCAGCCCCTGCAACACCCTCAGCACTTGATAGTATGTGCTTAATGTCTCTTCTTAAATCTGGAATAAGATAAATGATCCATCTTATAGGTAACTTTGAGACTTTGTTCTTTCCATGGGAAATACTTCACCTATTTCTTACTCCCCTAGGCTTCCAATGAAAAGCAAAGCAGTTAATAAAGTGTAATTAATAAAGACAAAGAAGTATGGGACAGCTGTAGAAAAGGATGGGCTTTGAAGACTTTTGATATGATCACATGGGGCCAACATTCCTGACCTTCCAGGCCATGTACTAAAACACACACACACACAGGAGCACCAAGACATGCATAACTTAGATCAGAAAGCTGAAGAGTGGTGAAACATAACCAGAGCTCCGCAGTGATATATCAGTCTTGGAAGAGCAAGAGCATGCACCCAGACAGTGGAGGTGTTGTATGGCAGGACCAGCAGCTCATTTCTTTCATTGATTGGAGGATCCAATTACTCAATAGGACCTACACCAGCATAGCCACATCATGGGAACATTAGCTCCCATACAAGAGCTGCTCAGGTGTGTGTGTCCTGGTAAGAAAAGGTTTCCCCTCCTCTTTTCTTCCCCTACACACCCATTTCACAGAGTCTTGATTAGATAAAGTTTAGCTTCCATCTCCCACTTAGGTACCAGGAGTCATCTTTTCCAATTTCTCTAGTAGCTTCTTTCCTTTAAAAAACCCACATACACATCAAGAAGGCAAAGCATTTGCTTCCTATAGTTTTGGGGGCTCCAGCTGCAAAAAAAACCACCATGGCCTCTAACTTTCTCCATCTTTTTTATTATTTTTTTTTAGAGCACTGGTATGTAATGGTTTTAGTTTTTGTGTAACTCTCTGCACCATAACGCTGAAGTAGACAAGCAGGCATTTCAGTTGTAGTGTTGCTTTTCTGCTCTTTTATCTTGCCAGTTCCCTTTGGGAGGGGGAGTACTGACTTTTTGCTCATTTAAAATCAGACTTATTCAGGTTGAAATTGTCTCTTCTGTTTGCAAAAAGGAAGATAGGAAGCATTTGCATCCCACTATGAAAGAGGAAGACTGCTCATGTATGCGTGTCTGAATGCTCCATAATCTGAGCATTTTGTCTTTTTCTCTGAAATATGATTTTTTTTTCTCAGCCAAAACCATCTCTACCTCATACTTTTCCTCCTTAAGAAGGTTTGAGTATTTTCAGCCTCGTCTGTGTTTACTCTTGTAGCCTGAACTGAGCCCTTTCCACTGATTACCCATAGTGATTCAGGTTAGATTTCAGCTGATTTGCACCCCAGGTTGCCACTGAATAATCCTGTGCTCTTTTAAAGTGCAACCACTGCCTCCATGCAGTACAAGTGGGATTTGAAGCTTGCAGGTCCTTTGTAGGTGTTTTTAGTATGCAACAAACAAATCTGAAGTAATTATACGAAAACAAATGATGCTGAAGCATAATACTACCTGTCCAGTTTAACTGTGCAGTAAGTCTTTAAACTTCTGTTTTTTCTGCCCATGTGTTTATCCTCCTTCTCCATCCCCCCATTAGGTTTATGCTAGTCAGAATTAACCCCACCTATCTGCAGGGGATGAATGATTTTTTAGCACACTCACTCAGCACTCCACACTTTCCACTGCAAAAGCCCTAGAGACTTAGTGACAGAACAGTCAACAATGATATTAAAACATATAAAATATCTGTAAAACCTCTTCTTCCAGGAGATGACGAGGTAAGTTCTCCTCATGTTATTCTATTTGAGGCCATGTTGCAGTACCATATTAGCCTGGGAAAGTAGGTGTTTCCACACACTTGAAACTGAATTCCTAGCCTGCTTGTGCTCAAGTATAGACTGGACTATCTATCTATCTACATATACATAATATATCTCAGGTATAGCATGGGAGATATAGATATATATATATACACACACTGGGAGTATATAGTGGCCCCAGGGTAGGGTCAATATTTAGCACAACTGAGAAATGTGCCTCAGTTTCAGGATTTTGGTGATCACAGTTAACCAAGTTGTCAGTACTTGGTGACATTTAATGCATTTTCTATTATGGGTGGAGAAAATTATAGGCAGTACCTTACGACAGCTGTTGGAGGCAAGATCCTTTCCTGGAAGTGTCTCTGATCTTTCATGCTGTGAGCTCACAGTATGCAGTGGTGGCAGGTGAGGTCAAAAGAGGCTATGGATACTGGGTGAGCAGTGGGATACTTGTGTGGCTCTGTCTTCTGGGAATGCAGTCTCCTCTTTTCTGCCACCAAGGCAATGATCCTTTCTTAGTGTCACTTTTCCAATGGCTCCATTTGCTGCAGCCACAAGGAGAGAGGGGAGCTAATTCTGGGTGCTGAGAAATGGAAGAGAGAAATAATAAACACTGGACAACAGTGCCTCTATTAAGAGGAGACCTGAAGGTCATAGGGAAACTGGAGTAATGGCAAGAGATACTGGTGTACAGTGATGTATCTTCTTTGATTTCTGTATATAACTTACATCAGGAGAGGACCAGGGCAAAGACTGGTGGGAGAGGGAAAGAAGGAGCAGGCGTGACTGAGTCCATATTCATGGCTGAGAGGCAGGAGTAGAACCCAGGGCTCCCAATCATGACAGCCTCCCACTGTCTTCCCTTGAATTATTGCCTTGATTAGTGTGATGTCTTGCTCCTGGCAACCACGTGGCATTGAGTCTATGCAGGAAAATATATGAGTGTAGAGAATAATTGGTTCTTTGCTATTAGATTGCACAAATGTCAAAGTGTACTGGGGAGAGAGAGACAGCTGAAAAGTCACATTCCCTGCAAACGCTGCGGCACTGACCTCTTGTGCCTGTAAAAACTGGGAATCACAGACAATCTGTTGTGATGCCATGGCTTCTTGTGGTGGGGGACTGCAAGGTCTCAGTACAAACACTGGTTTCTCAGCTGGCAACATTGGAGTTCTTTGTAGCATCGGGTCAGGTTGTGTATAGGGGGAGTTATATAAGATTTTCTTGCTATGCGATCCGCCGTGTTGCATTATTCTAATAAATTAGATACTAGAAAGACACTCTGCTCTCTATGTACCATCCTGAGGACATCTCTCTCTTCCCTTGAACTCTGGCAGCTCTGATTTACTTAGGACAAACATGGTATTTTTGAAGGATCTTGCTGCTTATGTCTGTGGGCTCTGTGGAAACCCTATGATTTTTAATGCCCCTCACTTGTATCTCCATCAACCATGATGGAATTTCTAAAAAGCTGAATACCTTTGCAAACTGCTGACTCAACCTTTCAACATGGAGCTTTGTCTAACATGAAAGGATTTGCATCTACAATTTCCCTCTTTTGGTAGCATCTCCCACCTGCAGAAGGGTTCAAGTCTTCAAGATATGGCCTGTTTCAAGATACATGTCCTACAGGAGAAGTCACAGTAACAAACAATGAGAATTCATCTTTGTGCCCAGAAGACTCTAAATTTACTTGAAAATCAGGCAGTAGAGGTGTGCGAAATCCATACAGAAGGAGGCGGTCCCACATACAGTACCTGACATACTGCAGCCAGCAGCTAGTAATAAGTAACCAAGGTAATTTCTAATATGAGGATCTCTAAGCAAAAACCTTACTGTGGGCTGTAGGCAGATTCTGCTTTACTTTGCTGCATCTCATCAAGCTCATGCTTGATACATTGGGTAGGCAAGTCATTTAGCTTTTTAGTGTATTTGCCCTGTTTGTGCTGTGGCAATGAAATGGAAGATGGATGGTCAAGATGCATTGCTTCTGCATCGAAGTGACAAAGGAAATTTATGTTCAGGCACTCTTATCCTACAAAGCCATGGCTAAAATGTAACCAGGTTTTCTAGTGTGAGATAGAGCCTCTCCAGAGCCCCTTCTCTTGTGCAGACCTGTAATGTCCTAAAGCCTCTATACAATTGTTGTAGCACTTGTCTTTACAGACAGGCTTAGAGATCATGGATTTACAGAACTGTTTCACAGTGCTTATCCATTGGTCCTGGCCTCAGTTTTGTGATGTCAAACTGCAGTGGAATTTAGATAGGATCTCAAAGCAGGGGGGAGATCAGAGAATGTATTGACAATTCATATCCTATCCTACTGTCATTCATTTATCACGCTGTCTCCCTTGTGAATGAATGTTTAGGTATACTGTAGAAAGAGAGACTTTATGGTGAAGTGGTTTAAAGCCAAGGCCTACAGTGAGAGTGTCCTTATTTCCTTCCTCCTTTCTTTGACTCTCCTCTTGCCCTGCTGAACTACTGACCCCACCCCATCCCTTCTTGAGGTGCTGCAAGTCATTTTTTTGTAGTGTTTTAATTGAAACTGCATTTTCCATATAATTGTTCAGGGAAAGCGCTGGGGTTTGAAAATAAAATGATTTTCACTGACAGAAAAATCCCTGGCCTGGCTGCACCTAGGAATGGGCATCAAGCTGTCACTTCCCATCTCCCAGTCACCACAAGGAATGAGGAGAATCAAGCATATGGCTGCTTGGTGGTAGCTCTTTCTTCAGAAAATAAAAGAACCCGTAGAGGAAATCAAAGGCATGCTGGCCATTTAGTTGCTTCCTAAGTCAATAGCACACAGTGCCTCTGGCATCATTTCTGTGCAAGATTTGCTTCCCAAGGCCATCAGTTGGTTGGTGACTAAATGGGAAGCCTATACACGAAGAGCCGTTTCCTCCTGCTGCCATGATCTCTGTTCAGGTCTGCTGGCCACCTACGCATTACAGTCAAGACCGTGCAAAACTTCTCCTGGTGTAGTGTGAAATTTGCTCCAGAAAAGCAGAAACATCTGGTTAGAGCCAGGAAGTGGTTGCTGGCTGGGTTTGGCAACAAGGGAACGTGTAGTTAATACACTCTTACCTCATCAGTAGGTGTCACTGCAGCAAAAGACAGGGTCCAGTGGAAAGTTTCAGAGGGGAATAGAGAGGGGTACTTCAGCCAACCAACCAGATGCAGTCAGCTCAGTGCTTCCTGACTACAGCCAGAGAACAGCTATGGATCTGGGTTTATGAATTGCTTGTAATAAGGCCATAGGAAATGAGAGATTAAGGAAATGAGTCATTAAGTGATTACAAAGACATGTGAAGCACACACAGTTGTGGCCGCCAGTAACAGAGCGTTGAGCAACTGTAAATTTCTTCTGCGGGGGTTTTGGGAATGTTCCTGCTGAACTTGTATGCAGTAGTGAGTTACGGTTCGATGGATGTAGTTGAAATGAACTGGTAGCAAGTTTCAGCCACTCTTAGCACAAAACCCACAAAAGAGTTTTCTACAACTCAAAATCACCCTTTTGATGCCAGGCCCAGTGACCAATCCCAGAAGAAATATTGCAACAATTAAGAAACAGTCCCCCTCTCGCACAGTAGTATTTAAATTTGGTTTTCAGTATGGATGCAAAAGCTCTAACCAAGGCTCAGTTAAACCTTCTTTGTCAGGGCCAACATCTGAAAGCTGACAATGTAGCCCTATGCTAGGATCAGCTTCTGACTCAATTTCTGCATCATTGCCAAAAAAGCCCCCAGCAGCTGCTCCTCCTCATGCAAGGTGTTTCTCTGGTGTGTTGGAACTGGCATTCAGCACTGTCACATGGGGGGGGCGTGGATAACCCAGTCTTGGGTCCGCAGAAAGCACAGGGCAGAGAGGAGTAGCACGGCTGCACTTGTTCAGCAGGTGCACTACCCTCAGCTGCTGAGCAGATGCTCTCTGGTGTGCTGGAGGCCTTTGTTCACACCACAGTGAACCTGCTGCCTTTCCCAGCCTCTCGGACAGCAACCTTTCTGGAGAGGCAGCCTCCTTCCCTCTGCCCCGCTGCAAAGCCAGCTACTGGAGATCCGTAAATGAGGTATGTTCATTTTAAAAATCCATCAGTTCAGAGGCAATGTGGGAAGCAGAATTCAGAAGCTGTCCCTCCAGGCAGCTGGGATAAGTCACATATCCCATCAAAATGGACCCCTCATGTGGTTTGGCATCAAAAAACAACTTTTTAATCTTATTTTCTGGGAAGAACAGTCAGGAAAAAAAGATCCATAACACAGGGCAGGTCAGCTGTCAAACCTGGACTCTCCTGCACTCCATGACTTTCTTGCAGGTTCTTGATCAGGCATCCTGCTCCAGAGTGTGCTATGCAGCATCTCCTAACCTCTTCAGCAAATATGTTGCCAAATTATCAAATACTATGGAAGGAGGAAATGAGGCAGTCAGGTATCTTTGATGCTATCCTCATGGCTTTACAAAGATGCACATAAGGTCCTAGTTGCTCCTGGTAGAACACTAAACTGTATGAGATGGGCTCTTTGAGTCTTTTTGGAAACTTTCTCCACAGTATTTTGCCTCAAAAGTATGTTGATTTTTCTACCACCATCTCTGCAGTCTGCAAGTCTTGGCTTTCAAACTGGCTCTAATGCTCTGTGCCTGGTTCCCTCTCCCATATATCTGACTCCCTCAACCTACTCCCCACCCTTTCTCTCTGTTTTTTTTTTTTA